AGCTTCAAACTTCAGCGTTGGCTGCGATTTTGAAGCTGAAATCGCGTTCGGTGTGAACGCACCATTACGGTTTGTAATGAATCTCAAAGAGTCGTGGTAAACAGTGTCAATCATTTGAAGACATTTAGCAGATGTGTTCATATACAAAACATCTCCATAATCCAACAGTGGTAAAAAGGTAGCCTCCACTAGTCGCTTTTTCACATTAAAAGAAAAGCCTAGTTTTAGTCTGAGCCTCTTTACCAGTTTCTCCACATGGGTCTTAAAAGTAAGGGAGTCATCAATCAGTATTCCCAGATATTTATACACACGTACCTGCTCTATTTCAATTCCATCAAGTGTGGTCACTGAAGGAATCGAAAGAGGCTTTTTTCTGGCTTTGGAAAACAACATAAGCTTTGTCTTGTTAGCATTAAAGACAAGTTTCAGCTGAAGTAATGAATGTTGGATGGTATCGAACGCTTTCTGCAGTGATTCAACAGCCTGAACAAGCGTTTATCCACAGCGGTAAATAACTGTATCATCAGCATAAAAGTGCAAACCAACATCTGACACATTTAGACCCAGATCATTAGTATAAATAATGAATAAAAGAGGACCTAATACAGAACCCTGTGGTACCCCTTTATTTACAGTGGCATGTTCTGAACAAAGACCGTCATATTTTACACACTGAGATCTGTTGTTGAGGTAGTTTGAGAACCAAGCCACTGATTTCTCAGACAGACCTGACTGAAGAAGCTTAAGTTTTAAAATGTCATGGTCAGCTCTGTCAAATGCTTTTGACAAATCAATAAAAAGTGTTGCACAATATAGTTTCTTATCAAGTGCAACCAATATATCATTTACCACCCTCACTGCAGCTGTAATGGTGCTATGTTTTTTTCTGTACCCTGATTGATGTGTTGTTAAGATAGCATTGGTACATAAAAACTCCTTTACTTGCTTTTTGTAGATTTAGTAAGTGATTTGCTACCTTTAGCTAGAATTTAGCTATTTTAGACTTTTAGCTACTTTTTATTTAGCTAATATTTTATTACTTCCGGCAAGCATTCTATTTTTTTATCCAGACTTTTGCTAATTTAAGTTTTTAGGAAATGATTTGCTACCTTTGGCTAGCATTTAGATATTTAAGCTTTTAGCTACTTTTTACTTAGCTAATATTTTATTATTTCTTGCTAACATTCTATTTTTTTTATCCAGGCTTTTCCTAATTTATGTTTTTAGCAAATGGTTTCTACCTTTAACTAGTATTTAACTACGTTAAGCTTTTAGCTCATTTTTATCATTTTTATCGAATTATCCATTGGACTGTCTTCCTACTCGTCTGATAAAAGACATTTTTCTGATTTTTGGCAGCTATATTCTTAAGGTGATAAATACCTCATTGCAGTCAGGTTATGTCCCATCTACTCTTAAACACACTGTGGTCAAACCTGTTCTTAAAAAATCTAATCTAGACCCCAGTGACCTAGCAAATTTTAGACCCATTTCTAAATTGCCTTTTTTATCTAAAATTCTTGAGAAATTAGTTTTTA